GTCAACCAGCCACATTTGGCTTGCGAGCCACAGTTTGCCAACCACTGTTTTAAACAGTTAAATAGTGCAAACTGCCAGAAACAGAAACAATGGCGAACTATCGGTGACAACTTTAATTTCTTAGCTAACTGAATTGCTAATTCACAGTAATTGCATAACACTGAATGATTCAGCTTTTAGCAGCATTAAATCGAAACCTAACATTGTAAGAAAATGAAGCTTTTTCTGAGTGTTTCCTACACAATTCCGCAACCACTATAGTCTCTTATTTAAAATAGGCATTTCTACACCGTGCCACATACTGAAACTGTAATTCAAATCATCTTTCATTCACGCGATTTTCTTGAAGCGAAGCACACTAAATGGACTGGGTGAATTACAAATTAATCGACACGGACATCTCTTTCAGTGGGTATTTCTATGGTTACGAGGCAAGTCGGGTGACTTGTAACCGACCTTGAAGTTCCTGTTTTAAGGTAACATAGTATAGTTGAACGATCGAATTTTTAATGTGAGTAGGCAGTGCTTTTATTTGTCATACAGCTTATCAAGCATCATGAATTTTAATCATATTCTCCAAAACTGTCCTTAAAACTATGTAAGCAAAATTATTAGAAGCATTCAAAAGTTTTTAGTAATGACTACAATGCTGTCGATTCCTCATCCTGACTGAGGATGTTGTGTAGTCTAAAATAGATTAACTGCATAAATAGTACATTAACTCGGATATAGTGAAATAGATAAGCATTCGGTTACAGTGAACCTGAGTTATTCGTTCCGATCCATATGCATACGAAATGTACATTCAAAATTTTGACTTGATATATCGTGAGGTGTAAAATTATTGGTTTATTCGTTTATTGAGATTATAGCAAGTTACATTGGGAATATATATATAAGGGAAAGGATGCCTTCGTGAATGACTTTTTAAAGTCATTAGAGCTTTTTTCGAAGACATGGAACTGAAGAAATCCGCAACGCCCTCGCCGGGATTCGAGCTCCGAACCTCTTGAAAACGGGTCGGGCGTGTTAACACTTACGAAACGAAGGAATGTGGAAAGGGTTACGACAAGAAGGAATGTGGAAAGGATGGAGAAAATGCCCCATAACGTTTTCTAAAGGGAAACTGTCTCGTATATGCGTTACAAACGAGGAAAATTACGAAATCGCCGATGCAGCCAAAACCGAACCTAGGTCGGAACTCCCAATGTTCAGTGACTTTACCATTTGGCAGCTGATGGGCTTGGAAAACTAAAACTGCAAAGAAAAAGTTATAGAAAATTGTAATTAATTTCAAAAGGAATTTGAAAGACTGTATTAAGAACAATATTATAAATGATCATGTATTCATTAAGCGTATTGAAACACGAAACAAAGTTTTTTTCGGTTTCAAGAGTTTTTGTTTTCGAAGTATGGCTAAGCAGATGTGGAAAGAAAGCCATAATATTGCAGCTTTAAATATAAGCTGGCGAACGATATGTGTGAATAGAAAAACGTCGTAGTAATTGAGCTCAAAATGGTCAATTATTTGTACCGGCTATTTGTCTAACAATTTAATCAAATAATGCCAGAAAAATTTATTCTGATAAGGGAATAGGAGGGTTATTGGGAAAAAGCCAAAAATTCAAATAACGTGTGACTTAGTCCTAAAATGCCATCAGAAAATTTAAAAAAATGCGAATAATGGGAAAATTTAGAACACTGAAATGTTTAAAAAACGACAAGGCTGTTCTTGTGATCAGTGTAACAATAAAACCTCTCTATGTTTCTAAACCATCGTCGGCAGGATCAAGAACTAAGATTAAAAGAAGGGAAAATTCAGTTTGTGGTAAACAGTTGTCTAATTTATTCTATTGTTGAAATCCTTAGAAACTTCATTCTAGTGTTCGTCGTAGTCGTATACTTCCAATCACAGAATTACACTGTTTTAATTGGCAAAATTAACCGGGATATTTAATTTCAAAATTTTGCAAATTTAATGTCCTTTTCAATTAAGTTAGAATAATTCGAGGAAAAAAGTTTAAAGGAAGTGCAGAAAAAATACAGAAGTGTTTTAAATGATGAAAATATCAATTTAAAAAATAATTTTGGGCAAATAACGAAATCTAAACTTTAATGCAGTCTCCCGTTTCCTATACTTATATTTAGGAACGTTTTATACTCATTATGAAAAAAAAAATGCAAAAAATTTGACTCCCGTACGATAAAAACTAACCAGGTTTTTTAATTTCAAAATTTGCAGTTTCTGATGTGATTTTAAACATGCCTTGAGGAATCCGTTTATTAAGTTAGAATAATTCGAGGAAATAAGTTTAAATGAAGCGTAGTAAAAAGTGTGTATAATTTATCTGACCGAACAAGGAAGTCATGTAATGTGCATGACAGATATAAACTGCAAGCTTTGAGACAACTGAAAATTTTTGCTCATTTAAAATGTGCATGATCAGCCAATAAATACAATTATGTTAGACAGAAATGTGGAGTGATTACAGAAATAGTTGAAAGCTATTAATTTCACTGAAAAATGTTCCATTACAGCTTAGTATATTAGCTTATTTCAAAAAATAATGTTAAGAAGTTTACTTAAAAAAATAATGAATCTTCAGAGTTGTACAAGGTATAGATTTTTCAGTAAGAAATGGACATAGATAGGCACTTCGAGTACACTAACAGCCAAATGAGTAAGACTGCTGAACACAGAATAGTTGGTCCTCGAGTTGGTCTCGGTAAACAGGTTTACTGGCTTGAAAGAGAATGGTAACTGTGAATGTGGGGAGGAGGGTCATCCAGATCATTTTGTTTTCTCCTGCCCACACACAGCACTTAACAGCCTCAAGCAACCAGGAGCCAGATTCTGGCCAAATTGGTTCCAGAATCAACAAAGTAACAGAGTTGCCCAGCGGAAAATGAAAACAATAATTGACTACTGTACTAGCAATTACTCTTCTGACACTGGAAGATAGTAGTCATAAAAGTCTATATAAGCTAGTACAATAGGTCAGCAATAGAATATGTGATATGTGTGTACAATATGTAATTTTGTATTTATGCTGTGCCAGGTTTTCATACATAAAGTTCGTACTGTATCTGAATGCTGTAATGTATCTGTACATGTTTATATCTTTTATTTATGGTACCTAATTCATACTAAGGATCACGTGTACCTCGATGGCATGCTTCTTGTAAACTTTTAACTATCACGATAACGTATATGTATGGGTGTATATATCAATATGAGTGAGAGTATGTATACTTTTATTTGTTTCGGAATATCTATGTATGTAAGTGTGTACTATATATCTGAGTTTGTATTTATATGTATACACATATATTTTGATTGTACTCTTCTTCAAGTGTCTTGTATGCACATGTATATATTTCTTTGTACATTGTTGTACCCTTCTTCAAGTGCCTTGTATGCACATGTATATATTTCTTTGTATATTGTTGTACCCTTCTTCTAGTGCCTTGTATGCATATGTATATCTCTTTTTTGCATTTTATAAATGTCGTCTGCTCAGCCGGGGCTGTCCAGGGCTGCGGCCTGGTAGCTAGTGGTTGACTCCCGCCGAGTTGGTAACCAATTCTGCATGGATATATCTATACCTGTTTCGGAAGCCAACTCAGCGGTTTACCTTTCCTAACCACTATACCGTCTGGGCTGCCACATCAGTATTCTTACGTAGATAGCTTTCGGTCGCTTTACCATAACATATACGCATGAAAGCTAAACAATACACTCTTAAGATTTTTCAAATTTAATAATTGAAAGTAAAGAATAAAAACTTACAAAAATCAGCAAAAAATATCTAGTTATCTGGCTTATACATGAGGATATTTTCAACTTAATGGTTCCGTGAATAAATGCGATTCAAAATATTAACAGCATGGAAGCCTGCATTTCATATTATATAGTATTTATCTGTGTAAATCATTGCTGTCTGATGTACAGTATTTTCCAAGCAAATAATTGGCTGAATATTCATAGAAGGTGCTGTTACTGGCGAAAGCATCTACATCTGTCAAAAAAAAAAAAAAAAAAAATTACACCAGAGCTTTGTGGTCACAAAATGATTTGTCATTGCAGTTATCCAAGTTTCTATGCAGTTATCTCGTATGGAATTCATTCATCACATAAGACTATTTTTAGGATTAAAATAACACCCATAATAATAATGCCATACAAACATAAACAAAGTTCCTTAGAAATATTGTGGAATAGAATCCATGCAATATAGCTCCTAATAGCTGTAATTATTTCTTAACTGGTTTTATTTAAAAGAAAATTTGCGAAGTTGCGTTAATTTTCACTTCAACTTTGCCTAAGCCTTAAATTTCCGTATGCTTTACTACCCCGTTGTATAATAAAACTTAGAATCTGTCTTTAAACCCCAAAAGGCAAGCGTTTTAAAAATCTTTAACATTAAAATTAGTTTGTATTTTAACAAAAGACATGTATAACTGATACATATATTCTCGAGTTTTCTATAATTCTCTATTCGATGACAAGACATATAGATATTCTTTACACATTCTCTATTCGATGATGTGATGCATAAACATTTTCTATATATTTGAATTATAGAATTTGCACACACCCACATATATATACATATGTATATGACTGCGTGTGTATGTGTGAGTAATGAAAAGTTAGAAGTGATTTTGCTACAATACTGCATTCTTTAAATATAAATTCTAAGATATAATATCTACTTGAACAAGCCTCGAAATATTTTGAAAGAATAATTTTAAAGTAATTACGGTGATAAGCAATGTTTACTGCCTGATAATACACTGAAATATGTTAAAATTATACCTTCCACATATATTTTTTAATGAATTCTAAAAGATAAAAAGAAAATACAGTGATCGAAAAATTGAAAAGTTTTAAAATTTAAACTTAAAACTGAATATTATTAAAGCTGAATGAAACATCGATTCGTAAGATAAATTTGAGTGTTAGGAAATAATTCATACAATAAAGAATAGATGGTATGTGATTCACGCTATAGAAAACTTTTATTTGATACGATTATATTCGAATAACAAGATAAATAAATTTAAAGGAAATTAAAGAAAGAGAGAAAGAGAGAGAATTAGGTAATCTCTTCCGATTCAAATTCTTCACGAATGTTCTCGGCAAATCTAAAGAAGAGGAGAGAAGATTTAGTTTGTATTTCTTTGAGATCGGGAGTATGACAGGAGATTTATCTTTTTTCCTTGCTTTGACATTATCATAATTCGGCGATGGCCGAACTTTTAAAAGGCTGCTGTACGATCTGGGAAAGGATGGGCGAAAAATTCTCCGAGTTCTGTCCGTATTGATAAAGTGTTCGTTTGCTCTGACCCAGTTTGCTCTTCTGTTTGGCCGCGTATTTGTACCGGTGCCAAAATCCGAGCATCACAATGACTGCCAGAAGGACTCCGGCGCCAGTAACGGCTATCGTCAGGATCTGCTTCAGCGATCGACCTTCGCAGTCCAGGTCCGCTGGCTCAATGTCGGTCAGGAGCTGATCGCTCACGGTAGGGGGGTTCTTGCAGCGCACTCTCGTAACGTCTTCATTGTAGGATGTAAAATTCTCGCGCTTCAACAGATGCCATAACCACATGAGGCTGCAGTTACATGTTAAGGGATTATCACGTACGTCAAAAACCTCCAACTTGTCCCAGGATAACATATCTTCGTGGAATGTAGTGAATTGATTACCCCTGAGACTCAAAAATCGGAGGTTTTCCAACCCGCGGAAGGTTCCCTGTTCGACGAAATTTAAGATTTTATTGTGGCTTATAATAAGGCGTTCTAACTGATGGTTATCCGCGAAGGTCCCATTTTCAATGACTTCGAGTTCCTCCTCTCCATTCACGGTTATGGTTTTCAATGATCGCAGGCCTCGAAAGTCATTGGGACCCAACCTCTGCAACTTATTACGACCCACATGTAGTTCTTGGAGGTATGGGATATCCATAAGGACGTCTATAGGCACATTTTGAAGTTCGTTGTCCTGAAGGAAAAGGGACACAATGCTATCCAGTCCGAGAAAGGCACCAGTTTCGATGATATGAATACCACAGCCGTCGAGACTGAGAACTTGAAGATGACGCAAGTAGTGAAAAGAGTTTTTAGGGACGACGTACATGAAGTTCATTCCCAGATCCAAGCTACGCAGAGAAATAATGTTCTGGAAAGATTCCGAAGGGACACGGGTGAGTTTGTTATCTCTTAGATACAGTTCTTTCAAGTTGATCAGCCCCGAAAAGGCAGAAGAGGATAATGTGGATATGCGATTCCTGGAAAGATCTAAGTTTTCTAAACTATGTAAAGGTTCAAAAGAGTCATCGGCAATGTCTGAAATAAGGTTGCCATCAAGACGCAGGATTTTCAGCGAGGATAAGCCCACGAAAGCTTTACTTTTCAAGGAAGATATCTTGTTGCTGTTGAGATGCAGCACCACCAGCTCCCTCTGTTCCGCAAAATTATCACTTCCAAGTGATGTCAGCAAGTTTTGGGACATATCAAGATAATGGAGGTGATGATAAACTGTGAAAGAAGCAGCGATGCTCTTGATTTTGTTGCTATTCAAATGCAGTTCCTGCAGTACTGGATTCAGGGTGATGGGAATCACATCCAGCCCTGCCCCATCGCACCATACTGTTAGGGTGTCCTCGTTGCAGATGCACCTGAAGGGACAAAAGCAGTTCCCTTTGGAGCACCAGATGAGAACAAGGAAGAAAAGGATTCCTCTCTCGAATACAGATCCCCTCCTTCCCAAGCATCCTTTCTTCATAGCTCAGCCAATGCATTCAGTTGAAACCTGCAAATGAAAAAGAGAGGAATGAGAAATCATTGAAAAACGCACAGAAGGAAGTTACTTATGCAAAAGCATTACTCAATAAAAAGGTCTCATATATATATTGAGTATTTTATAGATACTGAAAAAATAAATATCTTTTCAATGATTAGCTACAAACCCACAGTGACAGCTTAAGAAATCGATCAAATAATCGACATTTTTTATATTACGATTACTGTAGTCTCAAAGCACGTTTTAGTATAAAAAATTAAAATTAAAATTTTTATATAATCCTTTTGCGAAAGGCTTGAATAAGAATAAGATGCCCATTACTCTTCTAAACCTTTTAATAATTAAAAATATTCATTATGTTCTGTTATATGTAAAATATGTCCCCCAAAATGATCAAGAACCGATTCAAACGCTATCAGCTGCTGGGAAAAATTAAGAAAAGGTTGATTTGAAGTGACATAAAATGATATTTCATTAGATTAGAAGGAAAAAAGCTTTGAAAGTCAGCATGTCTTATAAAAGAGAATTACCAAAATATGCTCACATTTCATAAACCTGGTTTTTGAAACTTTCTGATGTTTTTAAATTTCAATAATGGTTTTACTTAGTAGAAATCATATTATAAGGTATTTCTCCCGCTTTCTTAGCATGCCTTTGTGGTGTAGTGGTCAGCATGCTCGGCGCGTATTCGAGAGGTCCGTGGTTCGAGACCCGGCGAGGGCATTGCTTATTTTTCATGTCTCTTAGCATCAAAAAATCCTAACACCTCTCTCCTCTACAATAATATATGTAATCCTAATTTCCTATTATAAAATTTTGCTGAAGTATATTAAATAATTCTGACGGTAAGATGGCTGATTGGCTCAACAAATTATATTTCTACTTATTTTGTACTATAAAATATTAAATTTCCTCTATTACACTCTATAACTACGGCCCTGTGATAAAAAAATTTAAACATTATTAAACCGTGGACCTTTTTAAAATACCTGTATTAAATATTTTAATAGTTATAAAATAATAAAGCCCATCAGCTCATCAGCGGCCGAGCGGTAAAATCGCTGAACACTGATAGTTCGGTGCGACGTTCGAATTGCAACAATGGCTGGTTGCATGGACATATTAATGGTTTTTCCCATGTGTAACGTGTAGTAGACCAGGGTTGAAATCAAGGCGAAATGGCTGGAAGCATTTAAGCATTTGGTGAATATTAATATGCATAACATGAGCAAGAGCCAGTTCTACGGAGCCATCTCTTTCCTAAAAGTAGATAGACCGCTCGTGCTTTTCTACAATACAAAAACTGTAGTGCACTTGTTAAGCAAAAATCAATAACACGAACACATTTCTAGAGCCGTTAAATTAATGTCAAGTTTAATGGTAAAGTTAATTTAAGAATTTCTGAGTACTGTAATTACTACAGATCTAAAAATTTCTTTAAGTAACATAAGTAACAAAAGATTTATCATGGAGAAAAGATTATAACTGTGAATTATCAACTAAACTTTGATCATGACATCGAAGAAAATGTATTCCTTTTTTAAACAATTCGAGAAGTTTTATTATTTTAGGTAAGTCGACTTTTGATTTTGGCAAAATGCAACATATTGCCTTTAGCTTGAACTATTTACTACAAACTTCGTGCGCAAACGATCAAGAAAAATAAATGCACAGCTACCTTCAGAATAAATCTTTTTTTATTAAATAAATAAACGAATCTCCTTATGACATTAATTTACGATGAAGTAACATCAAATCAAATTTTTCTCTGTCACCGATTTCGATTTTGAACAGCTCCTTTTAAATATATTATTCTACGTTATATATCTCTAGTTTCAGGTGTTAAACTGGAATCTGCATTCTAATTAGAGTTTTCTTTTAGTCATCTGAGTTTCTCACTTTAAAAAAAAATTCTTTTGAAGTGTTTTAATGGGAAATGTTTCGAGCTGTTAACCTTTGTACCAAAAATTTAAGCACTTCAATATTTTTCACTGTAGATAAAATATTTCTGTACCTTGATAGAGTAATTGGAATTACTAACCCAATAAAAGCTAGTAGTTTAAGTTTCAGCAATAAGGAATACGATTTAGAAACTAGCTGCGAGTATATATAATATTGCCCCTAATACAAATTGAAATTTATTTAATTAATCCTAATTGTAATTCTTAGTTATTTTATATTTACATCTGACAAGGAGGGATATGTTTTTGAACTCAGTCTTGCAGTAGGAAATCTGGATGGTTTTCGTGAAAGGGATCTAAAACGTAATGAATCTGTTAAATAAAGCTTACCCACGCTGTAACAAGAAATTTGAAGAAAAAATTCCTAGTAAATTAGAACGTGGATTATTCAAGGTAACTGAGACTGTACTCACCTGTTATAATGGAGAAGTGAACAAAATTTTAAATCATGACAGCTTTTTTTTAAAATATTTCTGAAATTGTTTATTTGAAATTTTAAAAACAAGCCCTCAAGTACAACTCTTAATATTTAGATAAAATATTTTATTATTAGATAAAATTAGTTTCTTTCAACTAAGAGGTAATCTATTCAAGATCTTATTTTGTGACAAAAGTATTCATGAAAAATCTAGAATAAACGAATTCGGTGAAGATTTACGCAAATTGTAAAAATTTTGTCAAATATTTATAAGACTTTTTTAAAATACGTTAACTTTTTTTTTCATAGTATTTTGACTCCCAGTCAGGTGTCGCACAATCATGCCAGTTTTTGAAGAACAAAAGATAAATAGAGAAAAATCAAGACATTGCTTTAAATGTTATCTTATATTACAAAACGCAAATAAAAGACGCATTTAGCTGATCAAAGGGAAAGATTTCTTTCCTTCTGTTTTCCTGCGACTTAAAAAGAGCGACCAAATTGTCTGTATGTGCATGCGCTCTGCTTATCGCATCAAATGGAACTGCATTCATTAGAACTAAATTTGGCGTAATTTATTATTACGTTTTAGGCGGCTTTTTAATGTGTAGTAATGTTTTTTCCCGAAACATTGTGTACAGTGGAGTTTTTGATTAATTTAATGAGTTGATTTATTTAACTTCACTGAAAATTATTGCGTAAAGTTTGAGTTACATTGAGAGTAAAATGAAATAGTAAAAAGAGTGATCTACATTCGCATTCCTTAATCTATATATATAAAGAAGAAAGTCTGTTTGTTTGCCCTCTAATAACTCAGTCAGTACTATAGCTATCGTAGCCACACTCTCTACGATTCTTTTCTGGGTCCTGTAAAAAGTCGATGTCCACTTTAAAAAAAAAAAAAAAAAAGTAGCTAAAATTAGAGATATTAATTAAAAACTCCGAAAACGATAATTTTCGCCCTCACTTTCCCAAGTGGCAACAGTCTCGCAAGCTGGAGATGAAAATCTGCTTTATTTCGAAAGCTGTTGCCACTGCTCGTTTTCAAATCGTAGAGTTTGTTAATAAAAAATGTCTAAGTTTTACAATGAAATGAAAATAGCATTGCCAAACATTAAATGCATTACTCCCGGTTCCAAAAATTTGTGGGAAGCCATTTCGACTGCGTAAGACTTCAATCAGCCGAGGTATTAATTAAAAACTCCGAAAGTTTAATTAATTTTCGCACTCATATTTCGGAGTGGCAACAATCTGGCGCGTTGGAGATAAAAATGCTTTATTTCGAAAAGTGTTGCTACTGCTCGCTTTCAAATCGTAAAGTTTGTTAATCAAAAATTTGTAAGTTTTACAAAATCTATATATGGTATATAAGGAAGGATGTGTCTGTTTGTGTGTTTGTTCGCATTATTGCTTTCTGATTAATTATGATAAATGTTTTCCCACATTTAATCGACTAAAATTGAATATAAGTGAAATACTGGATGGAACTTGAGCTTTTACGATCATTTGATTAGAAAAACGAAAACTCAATAAAATTGTGTGCCATTTTTGCTGATATAATGAGAGAGAATTAATTTAATGTAACTTAACTGGCATCGGGTACTTCCATTAGTTAATAATATTTATTTATAATTTAATTTCGTGTTATGTTATCGACGTCTCAAAATGTATATACAGCTTTTAATTTTTATTATTTAACAAATACCATGTTATTGACCATCAGGTCATTAGGCGAACGGCTCTTCAATACTTTTTAAAATACAATCCAAATCATTATTGCATAACACAAGTCCAGATGAACAGCAGTCATGTCTTGTCGTGAGTCACACAGAACACATTGAGGTGAATTAGTCAGTTTAAACAAATAAGCACTAAGACAATCATGTCCAGTCTAAAGCCGAAATTCGGCCACAGCGACAACATGGTTTGAGTCCACAAAGCACACTCCAATTTAATATATAAGGTATTTATCCCGCCTTCTTAGCATGCCTTCGTGGTGTAGTGGTCAGCACGCTCGAAGCGTATTCGAGAGGTCCGTGGTTGGAGTCCCGGGGAAAGTATTGCTCATTTTTCATCTCTCCTGCTTTCAAACAATACCTAATAACTCTACAAACATTAGTAGCGTTTTGCCCAAAATAGCGTTCTATTTATAAATAATAAGCTACTCATTTATAAATCCATTCTGAGGTCTCGTGCTGTGCTATGCCTGTAATAGAAAACAGTTACAAGCAGCACGAAACGGTATACTACAGTAGATTAAAAACTTGCCGTGGTACGTTAGAAATAGCACAATTCATGAAAAATTGAAAATCTGTCAACTCAAAATTCAAAATCTGTCAACCAATTAGAAAACAACTTTAATGTAAGAATGATAACCCTTAACAACGACGAAATAAGAATTTACAGCCATAATAAACCTATCTATTATATTGAAAACGTAATGTTTTCTATGTAATTAGAATTTCCTTTGTTTTAAATTTTATAGTATTATTTTTTTCGACATATAATTTATTCTATGTATATGTTTTCATTACAAAATACTGTTTCTTTGTGATATTGCACTTGCTTTTATGCGTTTGGCCACCAGCTCGACAGCTTCCTTCTGTCATTACTAGTTTAATTTTACTAAATCTCTTT